CCCCCTCAGCCCTCTTGGCCACAAGGGCACATTGCTGTCCCATGGACAACTTACTCCACAGGGAGTCTTCTCCACAGGTCTTTCTCCACAGGGCTGCTTTCCAGCAGGACATGCCCTAACCTGTACTGGTGTCTGGTGTTATTCCTCCCCAGAAGCAGGGCTCTACACTTGTCCCTGTTGATCTTCAGGAGGTTCATCTCCACTCAGCTTTCTAGCCTGTGTAGATCTCACTGGATGGCAGCACAGCCTTCCTGGTGTCAGCCACCCCTCCCAGTTTTGTATCATCAGTGAACTTGCTGAGGGTGCACTCTATCCCCTCATCTAGGTTGTTGATGATCAAAACTGGACACAGGACTGATCCCTGGGAAACACCACTGGCCACAGGCCTCCAGCTTGACTCTGTGCCACTGATCACAATGCTCTGAACGCTGTTGTTGAGCCTATTCACAATCCACCTCACCATCTAATCATCTATCCCACATTTCTTGGTTTTTCCTACAAGGATGTTCGGAGACAATATCAAAACTGAAGTCGTGGTATATGACATCCTCTGCTTTCCCTTCATCTACCTGTTTGGTCACATCTTTGTAGCAGGATATCAAACTAGTCAAGCAGGATCTCCCCTTAGTAAATCCATGGTGGCTACTTCTGACAACCATCTTTTCTTCCATTTGGTTAGAGATGGCTTTCAGAATGAGCTGCTTCAACTCTTCCAGGGAGGGAGGTGAGGCTCACTGGTCTGTAGTTGCCTGGGACTTCCTTCTTGCCCTTTTCAAAGACTGGAGTGACACTGGCTTTCTTCCAGTCCTCAGGCACCTCTCCTGTTCTCCAGGTTCTCCTGTTCAGAAATGGAGACAGCCTCAGCAACAACATCCGCCAGCTCTCTCGGCAAACGTGGATGCACCCCATCACGACTCTTGGATGTGTGTGGTTTCAGTTGCTCCAAGAAGTCTCTAACCCAATCCTCCCTGACCAGTGGAGAGTATTCCTCGCTCCAGTTTTGCTCCTTTACTTCTAGTGACTGAGATTCCTGAGGGCTGGTCTTAGGAGCAGAGACTGAGGCAAAGGCAGCAGTACACAATTCTGCCGTCTCTGCATCCTCTGTTTTCATATCTCCCACCTCATTTACCAGTGGACCCACTCTTACTCTGCTCCTCCTTTTCTCATTGATGCATTTGAAGAATTTCTTCTCCTTATCTTTCACCTCCCTAGCCAGACTAAGTTCCAAGAGAGCTTTGGCCTTTCTTGTCAGCTCTGTACACACTCTGGCAGCATTTCTGTAACCCTACCAGGTAACCAGACCCTTTTCCCTTTTAATTCCTTTTTAATACATTTATCTTGTGCTTGGTGGGGGTAGAGTTTGAATATTGACCAGCTCTCTTGTGCCCCCGTAGTACCTTTTACAGAGGAAAAAGTCTTCAGTGAAAGTGCAGCAGGGCAAGGTATTTCATAGTTCCCCCACAACTGCCCCAGGGATAGCCAGAGGACAACTGTACCTCTGACAGCATCAAATTAGAGCTAGTTAACATCTGGAACAAAAATAAATACAGTCTCTTCCTCATTTGCACTGCAATAAATCAGAAGTGTGGATGCATGTTAAGAGAGTGAAAATCTTGGCTTAAAAATTGATTTGACAACTTCAGTACTCTTCTGTTCAACTTTCCACATGCCTAGTATCCGGAAAAGAGCAATTATCAAGACTTCCTAAATCTGAGGATAGTAAGCATCTCTTGTCCTGCTTGCCTGGAGAGTACTCGTGTGCCTTCTAAGCCATCTTTCTTCATTGCTTCCAGAATTTCATCTGTAATTGAAAATGCAGTTTTAAAACTTAGCTTATATAGAAACCAGCTATAATAGGCAGTGTTAAAGTATCTACTCAACATAAACTGCAAAGCAAAGATTATAAGCTGTGTCTTACTCTTTCAGACAGTAATTTTTATGCCAAGTAGTCTTCCACCAAGAACAAATAAAGTTCACAGATTACTAACTGAAGTTCTGTATTTTGGTGTTACTAAGAGCAATGAACAATTAAGTTAATTTGTTGGACAAGCTGAAATTTGTAGTACCTTCTCTCAAAACCTACCTAATGAATGAGGTGTGAAAGAGAAATATTTCTTCTTAAAACTACTTGATAATGTATAACCATGGATCATTAGATCAGAAGGAACAAGTCCAAGTCTTTTCTCTACGCACATCACAATGAAAGACATCGCATTTCCAACTAAAGGCTTTTACCTGCCAAGTTTACAGCACCACTGTCTTCTTCCATGAAGCCAGGCCAGGCCTTTCTCATTAGCTGGCCCAGAAGCTTTACAGCCACCTTTCAGACTTGGAACTGAAGTCTTACAGAGCTGCTGAGGTCAGGACCTCCATATTACCACTTTTCAAACGAGTTTAGGGAGTTCGTAGTTTTGGTAAATTTGCTTGTATTTTTGCTTTAGCTCACCATACACTGGATGCAAAAGGCATGAATTCAGAAAAAGGATTCCATGAGGCATCAGGTTATACAAGAAGTCCCTCTGTAGAGTAGGCACCCACAAACTTGAAAGATGAGAAACACAAGAGTGCACAGCAATGCCACTATTTGTGTGATGTCTGCAGATACACTCTAACCAGCTACAGCATTTCTACCTAATGACCTAGAACACTGTATGAGTTTCAGTACATGCTGCCAATCTTCAATGAGCTGCTATCATCACATGTTATATTCAGCTGATGTTACATTCTACTTTTTCTTGTTCACTGAAGTTTGATAACCTAGAGAACATCAACATTTTGATGATTATGGTGTTAAATCAGGTTTGGCATATTTAATGGTCCAAGAAAAGTGATCACCTGGATTATTTGCTTTAATTGTGACCAAGTAGAATAATCCTCCTGGTGAAAGTAGGTCTGGAACTAAAGGAAAAACTCTATCCATGACTTCTCTGCCATTTTTGCCACCAGCCCAGGATGCCTCTATTCCATGGCTTTCCACCTTGGAAGAATGAAAACAAAGACTGTAATAATATAGAATGATGGGCACATCAGTGGTACTTTGAAGCACCACCTTAATCTCTAGCTTTAGGTGTCTGCCATTAGACATCTGACAACTCTGAATCAGCAGATGAGTTTATGCAGCAAAATTACCTCAAGACTAATTCCTACACAATGAACATAATACTTTTGTTTCAAGTTCTATTCTTAAAGTGAATTTTAAAAGCTATGTTTTTTCACATGGGTTGTTACTACTTTCTTGTTACATTTTATGAGCTTGTTTGCCAAGTGGAAGGTAGCCAGAGAATTCTGTAAGTGTTCATGGTTCAAATTCTGAGAGGTGGAGTCTACAGAAGTAGAGGATTTATTTTGCAGGGAACAAATGCATTTTCCATTGAAAATTTTCTATAATACCTGAGCATGCCTAACCAAAGCTTACAGTTTATACTTGATAAAGAAAACAGGTACCGAGGAACAGCAGCTAGTGATCCTTATTCCCATAACAGTCTTTATAATCAAATGTAGTAAGTCAATTGCACTAAAACAATGCTGTTTTAACAATGCTCGTCCTACAACATACTTCACCATTTAAAAAAACCTCTGCAGTTTCCATACCAGGGCTTATCTGTCATCTCTCCTCTGACAGTAGAAATGCCATTTTTATTGTGTATTTCAAATTCTTCCTACCTCTTCAGAAGGTGTTACCACATACGGTGGATTAAACAGCAGTAGATCAACCTTCCCATTTAATCTTGGAGACAGTCCTTTGACCTATATATGAAATTGACAATTCTTTCATTATTTTTTAGAAACATAAGGAATGCAAACATTTTGCAGAAACATAGTTACATAGTGTTGAATATTCTGAGCACTGAAGCCTGAATCAAGAACATTAGACTCTGTATGTTCAAGAGAAGCATCAGGAAGTACCCATGCACACAGAACAGTTTCAATAGACTTAAAACTATGCTATGCATGGGATGTAGAAGAGCAAAAGCCACATACGTGGACATAAAGCAGTACTTTACTTTTGCTTAGTTCAGAATTTAAGTTACATATAAAAAAATTGGCTTTATCATCAGTTAACATTTGTTAATGACCCAAATGACCTATCTGTGTCAACTACAGCTTGGTTCTAAAGTATGGCATTAGAGGAAGGGCTATGATAGTATCATATCACTGCAGGATTTTCCAAACTATATCTAGATAATTTATTTTTTAAATGAATTCAATATTTTTTAAAGGTTAAATTTGAATTTTAGAGCTTGAGTAGTTTCCCTTCTTTCAGAAACACATTGGCTTTTTTTTTTCTTTTTTTTCCATCTGTGCTTATTAAAAGAATGTTTGTTCTAGACTTCATGGTTACTTTTCAGTGTCTCTAATAAGTATTAGAAAAGCTATGAAGAAGAGATAGAAATATCTACCTTACCAAGTCAGTAATGACTGGCTGAAGGTGAACATTGTTAAGCACAGCTGTCTCCAGTGTACAGTAAGCTGCCATAGGGTTGATATCTGTACATCTAAAAGCAAAATATTATCAAGTGTAAGTATCTGGAAGTTTAACCCTGTGAACCACATGCAAATTTATGTACTCTCAAATAAAATATCCTAGGCTGGGGGAGGTGTGGCTGGAGAGCTG